TTAAAAAACTTATAAATACAATATTCAAGAATCGATAATTCAATAATTCAATCATATTTTAATCAAGCAATTAAAACTTTAGAAAAAACCCATACATTTTTTTAAATAATAAAAATTTAGTAATAGATAATTAATAATAAAATGGAAAACTCACCAATTGATTCTATGCTTTCATTTGATTATGATGCACTTCAAAGAGAAATTACAAATATTGATAATACAGATGATGATTATTGTGATGATGAAATACTTGAAAATAATGAAGATGCACAAGAAAATCTTAGTGGTGAAGCTGAATTTGATATGGAAGTCCCAAAAGAAATTAAGTCCAAGGTCACACCATGTGTAATTGTAGATAATGAGAATAATGAAGAAAAAATTGAGCGCTGCAACCATATGGATAATAATAATCGTAGCATTCACAACTTGATTGGTTGCTTTGAGATAGATTCAAATGTTGTAAGAGAAGTTGGAAAGGAAGTTGAAAAATTAGGTGTATGTTTAAAACATTTGAATCTTGATCAAAATAAGTTTCACCGACCCATAGAAGGAGAGTCACGTATAAAAGCAACACAACCCTTTTATAATGGTACCATTCACAAAAAATTGTGCCTTCTTTGCAACAGATACAAGTGTTTTTATACAAGGGGTGATGCTTGTAAGTTGCATTTATGGAATGTTTGTAATCGTAATATCCAAGTTCCATGTCGTGGTTTACATGATTGTCCAGCAATAATAGAACATCCCATTTTGGCGAGCATTCCAGAAAATACTCAACGTGTTCGATATGTTTGCACTGATTGCTTGGTATTAAATGGTGCTCATCTTCATGTGAAGCCAGGTTCAGGAAAAAAATCATCTTCCTGTGTAGATAGAAAAAAGCACAAGGAAGATTCTACATCTTCCTTAAGGCTTATTGCCAGGTGGATTAATAATGTTGCCTCCTCAAATAATAATGACACAAAAAATAATCTATTAAATCTTTTAATAAACAAGGTCATTGGAGATTTTAATACAACAGAAACAAAAGCTACATTACCATCAAGTTCTACAGTAATAGGATCTTCTGATAACCTATTAATCCCAAGTTTTTTCCATCTCAATATAGCTTTGGCTGTAAAAAACGTTAATATGAATGAAGATGAGGAAAACAGTCAGCTGGATTCAAAAACATTTAAAAATTATGGTGAAATTTTAGCAAATTCGATTTGGCAAACACGTAATATAATCAAAGAAAACAAATTACCACTGGAAGAACCAGAATCTCTTGATGAATTTTATGAGGCAATTCCAAAAAATCTCACTAGCTTTTTCAACAGTCTAATCACCAATCTATATGAAAAAAAACATGAGATAGTTAAAAAGAAACAAAAACAACTTAATTTACCTGAAACTGAAATAAAATATCCACTTATAAAAAAAATCACCACATTTTTGACATCAGTAATTTTGAAATTTGCCTTTCCCCATACAAAAATCTGGTTTGCACAAATAATATCTTCCCTATGTCAAAATCCCAAACTCCTGCCCTATCTTCATTCAATTTTACAGACAGTCCAAGTTGCTTCACATAGCAAGCGTCATGAATATAGAGTTCGTAATGAACGTATATCAAATATTGTACCAGCATCAAGGCTTGAAATAGGTCCAAATATTTGGAATCTTGCTGTTATTGATAATATTGATATCAGAGACCACACATATTCATATGGAAATATTTTTGATGTGACTTGCAATATAAAACACGCAGTTGTGAGGATCGCACTCCAATATAAGTTACCACATCCTGTTGGAATACCCATTGATGACAGTGAGCAAATTTTACCAGAACCAATCTTTTCTGGTCAATTTGCTAATGAATGGGTTGTAAAATATGATGATGTTTTTTCAACTTTATATGAAGAAAATAATAGAGATTTTGGAATAGAAAGAATTAATGAATCAATTCGAAAATACATCAAACCTGGACATAACTTGCCAACACCAAATCTTGTGATTCTTCAAGGAGGACCAGAAGCCAATTCTAATGATAATGTATACGAATCTTGTGATATGTATCTATATGATTTTGGTATGTCTGGCACCTTGGATCTAGCTTGTGACCAAGCAATCTACCAGAGATTAAACAATTATTCCAATCCTCACCAAACCTTGAATTGTATATTGGGAGCTTGGCATACAAATAAAGCCATGTGCAATACCTTAATTTCTGCCTTTTCTGGATATGGTCTATTTGGAATGGCCAGAACACTTGGTACACGATACTTAGATAAGTTGGAAAAGGTAGTAGATTACAGATCCACATTCAGAGTCCTTGAACTCATTTGGGCAGCTGTTGGCATTGCCATCCACCTTTATAAAAAAAATAATAATATAAGTACTGATGACATACTTGCAAGCAACAATAATGTTCTTAAAGTGTGGTTACATTATTACAAATGGGCAGGATTATTGATATCACATAAAATGGGAATTAGGATGGCAAACCTGGAATTGCAATTAAAAAGCTTGGAATCTTTTGCTCCAATTTTCCCAGTTACCAAAAAGTACAAATATGCAGAATCTGTGACCAGGTTTTTGATTCATGTTAGCAGAAATCCAGAATTACAGAAGCGACTCCAAGCTGTACCCTCAGTTAATCTCACCAAAGAGAACCATTATCTCGCATTTGATGAAACAATGGAGATATTTGGTATCAAATTTGTTAAACAGAATCTTCCTGGTAATGTGAAAAGTTCGGAAGATTTAAAAAATCTCATTAAAACAGTACAAGTAGAAAGAGAGCGCATGTTAACATTGTATGATGAAATTGTTGATGAAAGTAATGTGCTTAGAAGAGATAGGAAAGTAAATGAGCATAAAGAAGCAATGTGGGGGTTGGTTGATGAACTTTTAAAAACTTTTGAAAGCATCTTACCTGAAAGATCCATTTTGCTAAAAGAAACTACTCAATTGACAAGAGAAGGCTATCAGCGTTTGTTTACATCTTATGAAAAAGGAGTAGTTCGCCTTAAAAAAATCATCGAACAAGACATCGATCTTACTGAACCAAGGACTACTGTAGGAAGGGGGAGGCAAGATTTGGTGCCACTGAAAGTAAAAGACATTAGAAAATTAGTTAATACTAATTATGTTGAAGAATTTGAAGGAGCAGAAATGCAAATTGAAGAAGTTCCCATTGTTGAAACAGATATAACATTAGTAGAAGAAGAAGAAATAACACCCATGGAAATTGATGAAACTGGCGAAGAAAAAGACAGACCCCAACCAGAGCAACAGACAAGCAATTCTTCCTTGAATCCTGAATATAAAGATAAAGTACAAGAATATCTTAGTGTTATAGAAGAATATAAGGATTTTTTGCCTGCAGAAGTTATTGAAAATTTAATAATAACATTAAAAGAATATACTAATACAAACTATTGGACTAGGAAAAGAATATATGATCGTTGGTATGATAAAATGAAGAGAACTAGGAAAAAAAAAATTAATAATAATTAAAATTTTTTGTAAATAATGTAAATAAAATTTTTTGTAAATAATGTAAATAAAATTTTGTTAAATGGTAAATAAAAATCTCAATTTATATAAATATTAATATATTTGCAATCCTAAAATCATTTCATCTTTAGATTCTGAGGATTTCTTTTGATATCTTAAATTAGTTGTCAAATATGTAAGATTTTGAGTTAATATGGTTGAAATTTTTGAAATTAATAATTAATAATAACTTTATTCAATTAAATCAATATGTGTGTAAATTGATTTATGAACTGAAATAAACAATACCTTCTAATAATAATTACATCCTAGATGAATTGAGATAAATAATATTTTTAATAACTACATCCTAGATAAATAAATAAATAAAATATCATAATTAATAATAATTTTATTCAATTAAATCAACATGTATGTAAATTGATTTATGAACTGAAATAAACAATACCTTCTAATAATTACATCCTAGATGAATTGAGATAAATAATACTTTTAATAACTACATTCTAGGTAAATAAATAAATAAAATATCATTAATAATCTGTCATTAATAATTAATAATAATTTTATTCAATTAAATCAATATGTATGTAAATTGATTTATGAACTGAAATAAACAATACTTTTTAATAATTGCATCCAGATGAATTGAGATAAATAATACTTTTAATAACTACATCCTAGATAAATAAATAAATAAAATATCATTAATAATCTGTCATTAATAATTAATAATTTTATATTCATTGATTCAATTAAATCAATATGTATAAATAATATTTTTTAATGATTACATCTTAGATAAATAAATATAATTCTTTTATAATAGAGTCATACATTTTTTTCCTATAATATCTACTACTTTCATAAATAATAGTTTACAACTTTTAAAATTTTTTGCTGAATCCAATCTATATACATAAAATTCTTCGCAACTATTAAATTTCTATAAAATAGTTTTTCGTGAGCTTCTCTAAAACTTATTAACCAACACCCCCCATAAAGTAATGACCATATGAAAGCTTAAAGTATTCTATACCTTCTCATTTACTATCAAGTCTTTTAAAGCGATATTGAGAAATAATCTGAGGTTTGAAGTGAAAAAGTAACACCATTTTTGAATAGTCGTGAATTTGTGTAGAGAAGACCTTTCGATATGAAAGAGTATTCATTAGAAAGCTTTAATGGAGTACTTTCATTTTACTCTAACAACGAAGTTCGAATTTATTATAAAAATCACGAGATATTTTTAAAAAAATTCATGTGACACGAAATTCGAATTTATTTTCACATATAGAAAAACAGCCTCAGGGAAATGTCACACGACTAATAAGGACATAAAATTTGACAAAAAAAATTTTTTATAATTGTTCCGTTATAAGGACATGTCAGTATAACGAGAGAACCAATCAATTACACCGATCACCATGACAAATTTATTAATACGTATCAGTATGCCCTGACCAAGTGACTTGCACTACATAATTCTAAAAAATAAAATGTCTCAATCCTCTCGGATGTCGATATACTCTTCTTCCAATGATACACGTCTAGTTAGACGTGTTTCAATTGTGGATAGAAATTTGAATAAAACAAGAGGAACTGAGGTTAAATAAAATAAAAGCTTTATGAAAAGAATCAAATCGATTTATACAATTAATTACTTACAGTACACAATGTATATATGTTTATAGGTGAGTTTGAGCGCATTTGCATTCTTATTTTCAGAAATGTTACAGTATGCACAAAAACATGTACTCGCAATCCAGGATCTTGAACGAAAGTAAACTTTGAGATTATTTATTAATATGGATTTTTATATTATTTCCATGAATAAATAAATTTAATTGATTATTACACATGTATATTTTTACAGATTAAATGATTTTGGATATCGTGTGGGAACTCGTTTATTGGAGTTGATTGTATTCAGAGAAAAAAATAGTAAAAGAGAAACACGTGTTTTAGGAATATTATATTTTATACATACAACAGTATGGAAAACACTTTTTGGAAAACAGGCAGATTCTTTAGAGAAAAGTACAGAACATGAAGATCAATGTATGTATTTGTATATGTGTGTGTGTGTGTATATGTGCGTGTTAGTTATTAAATTCCTATATTTACAATTATTAGTTGTGATTAATTATTTTACTTTTTAATAATAGATATGATATCAGATAATGATCCAGTTATAAATAAGTATATTTCAGTTCCAAAGGAGATATCGCATCTTAATTGTAATGCATTTTTAGCAGGAATTGTTGAAGCGATTTTGGATGGTGCACAATTTGTAAGTAATCATATCATAAATGGTGAATTAGGAATCAGAATTGGGAATTGAGAGTTGGATAATAAATGAATTAATTACTTATTATTATGAATCTTCGGTCTGATTTTTATTACAGCCATCTCGAGTAACTGCTCATTCAGTACCAATAGAAGGCTTTCCATTACGCACAACTATATTAATTCAATTAGATAAAGAGGTTTTGAAAAGAGAGGAACAATTCAACTGATATTATATCATTTAATTATATATATATATATATATATATACACACATTTATAGAATATATAAAAGAAAATTTTTCTTGGAATCACATCTATTTCTTCCCTTAGATTATAGAATCAGAAAAGTTTTAATAATCTATAATGTATTATTAACCAAAAAAAATAAAATGTTTATAAATTATTATAAAGTCGCTGGTAATAAAATCTATTTTATTAAAAAAAAATCACATAACACGTCAATCACTTAGATATTAATTAACATTAACAATAGATTTATAAAGAAAATTAACAAAACATGAAGTTTTGTCATGTGTGGTTATAAAACAATTAGATTGCTTCATATTAAAATTTTTTGACAAAGTTTCAATTTTATTTTATTAATATTCTTTATTGAGAAAAAGATTTTATAATTAAAAGCATATTAACAAATTAATATATATAAATATAAATTTATTTTTATATCTGTTTCTTTTCAATTATTGCTTTTATAATATCTGTTGATATGTTTGCTCCATTTCTTACCAAATATTCAGCCAAATGCCAATTTCCATTTTTAATAGCTATATTGACATCTTTAGCACTTGGTTTGCCACCATTTTCAATCAAAAGATTTATAATAGAGAATCTATTAGATTTTACACATATGGTAATAGCTGCGCCTGATTTAACATTTGGATTTGCACCATATTCCAATAACAACTTTATCATATCTTCTTTACCTACAGCTACCGACTTTATGATTGGGTAACCATCAGGCTCATCTGGTGATGCTTTTCTATCTAATAATATTTTTGTTAATTCTATTAATTTTCCTTCTGGATCCGGCAATGAAAAAAATCTATGTGGGATTAGTTGATTTTTGTATGGTATGAAAGTTGGTGGTAATGAATTTTCATGATGATTATTTTTTAGATATTGTTGCAAATATAATGCATCTAAATGAAATAATAATTCCTTATCAAAAAAATTGAATCTAATTCCTCTACGTAATGCTTTCAAATAATTTCCATTACTAATATTCATTAACCAACGGACCTTTAAACTAAGTGTCGGTTTGAAAAGTTGATGAATTTTCTTTGAAACTTGTGTGAATAATGGGTTGCGTGAAAGTATAAATATTAATTCTAACAATTCAAACGGAAGTTGTTCTAGTTTCGGTGAATTATTAGCATATAAAATTAACATGTTTTTATAAAAAGATTTTCAGAATTTATTCCATTAGTGCTTTGCTGATCCATTTATTTTTATAAATTCACTACATAGTAATAGTAACATAATTTTTTACTAAAACATTTTATCCATTTTTCTTGTAAAGCAGCCATCATTATTATTTTTAAATTTATTAGCTGTTTTACGAACCCACACTTCCGACTCCTTCCATAAGTTTTTAATTGGATTCAAGTCAGGAGATTGGCTTTGCCAACTTTTTAAAATCTTTATTGTTTCTATCCATTTTTTGACAACTTTTGCTATATGTATGGGGTATTTTCATCCGAAATAATTACCCCCCCCCTTCATTAAATTTATTACCAACTAGTGAGGCAGCTTTAAACATAGTATATCACTTCAAATAACCTTTTTCCATTTTATAATGGGTCAATGTGTTTGATCAACCCTTTGCTGTTCATCAAATAATAATTGGTTTAGCTACTGGCACACGAGAATTAATGTGAATTTCTTTAGTAGAAGCTTGTAATAATTATTGATCTTTAATTTGTTCGGCTGATTCATCTTGTCTTTAAATAAATTTTTTCGATCCTATCTGGTAAACAATTTAAAATTTTAGAACATTCACTTTAGATAAGTTATTACATAAATTTTACTTTATCACGCAATAAAAATTATATATAAAAATTCAAGACATATTATCAAGTAGGTTTTAGAGAATTGATAAAAAAATTTTTTCGGCGGCTTCAAATTAATCTAATTCCATTTATTGCTCAAGTTCTAGTAAATTTTTATATAAAGAATGTTTTTGCGATTATTAAAAATAGATTATTTAGTTAAGAAATAATAAAAGTAATTGTTTCGTGGAAAAACATATAATGAATGACCAATTATTTCGTTAAATTCCTTGACCGGGAGAGACTCCCATTGGATATTTCCGACGCTGAGAGTGTATGTCCCGGTATGTATTGATTGGTATTGATGGTGTATAGATTCTTGAGAAAAGATGCACTAGCAATAGCAATTGAAGTTGCTGAATGAGGATCGGTATTCATTATCCCAACAGTGCCAATATACTCTATGCTGTTCCCTCATCTTAACACCAACTCTATGATCATGTCCTTTTATACGAAAATTAACTCTGTACCAGCTGTACCAATTAACATAACTCGCAGGATAAATTATGTAAAATGAAAAACATAAATGTTTTAAATAGATTTTTCAAAAAACGTGACGATGGTGTTTGTTTTAGAAAATTATATTGGTTAATTATTTTTAATTAATTAATTAACACAAGTAAGAAACTAGCATTGCATCGTCCCCGTCTTTTGCTGCTACATATTCTGTTCCTATAACATACCGTCATCATAGTCATCTTTTAATATTACTACAAATAATGTCCGATCATTGTAAAAAGAAATCGAATATTACAGGTGACAAAACCAGGAATATTTTTGTAATTGTTGATTCCATGCATTTCTATTAATATAGTTGGCCCCGTGAATTACAATAACCAATAATCATCATTATTAGTATATTAGTATCATAATTATTTATTATTTATTATTATCAGTATATTAATATCGTAATTATTTATTATTATTATTATTATTATTATTTATTTTCAGAGCTAATTAACTATATTAATATATTAATATTAATATATGAGAATTGCTGTATTGATTTCGATCAAATTCGTAGGGATATTTGTAATTACGATAATTGACGCTTGACTCACGCAAACTCAGATACAAAATGACGGACAGAGGAATTGTATTCCGCACATGAATATTTATTTGTAAAAATAGGAAACTATACGAATATTATTTAATACTTGCTTTTTATAGAAATCGGATATAATTTATCCGTGTTGCACCACAATTCACAAGAAGCGATTTAATATTTAAGTAAAGACGATCGTGGAAATTATCGTTGGAAGGAGGAAACAAAAAGTTAATTTTTAAAATTTTTGATTCTATAAATGAATTGACATTTATAAATGATTTGCTAAAAATAGAATTTATTATATATATTATCTTGTCATTATTATAAATACGTGGAAGAAATTCATTTTCGAAGGAATTAAAAAAAATACATAAAGAATTAAATACACACACACATACATATATACATTTTAAACTTTTTAAAAAAAATCAATTAGTATCGAAAAAATGCCTACTGTAATCATTATTGGGGCTGGAATAGGCGGGTTATTGTTTGCTCAAGGACTTTTAAAAAATCACAATGAAAATAAAATGAAATTTAATGTTAAAATATTTGAGAGAGATGCAGGACCGGAAGGTTGATATCAAAATAATTAATAATTAAATATAATATAATTAAATAATAATAATAATAACAACAACAACGATAATAATTGTATTTTGTAGCTCGTTTGCAAGGATATCATGTTTCAGCAAAACCATTTGGTGTAAAATCACTTATGAATTGCCTTCCAACAGAATTATCCGATCGGTTAAATGAAATCCTTCCTGGCCCGGTTACAGGTGAAGATCACAATCCCTCATTTGTGGATCAATTCGGAGAATTGTTGATTTCATTTCCTTGTAAAAAATTTAATAATTTGCGCGAATTTTCCGAGATAAATCATGACCACACGGTGTTGATAACTTTTAGGGATAAAATAAGGGAATTTTTGTTGCAAGGTTTAGATGTACAATGGAATAAAAAATTTGTTAGATATGAGATAGTCGATAATGGTGTTTGGGCTTATTTTGATGACGGTACAAAAGAGTTTGGTGATATTTTAGTTGGATCTGATGGAGTTAATTCACCTGGTAAATTAATTAAAAATATTTTTTTTTTTAAAAAAATACTTCTTGTTTCAAATTAATCATTAATTTACTGTTTTATAAAATAGTTCGTAAACAGAAATTACCAGACTTGGAGGTAAAAAATTTGGGAGTATCATGTGTAATATTTGACATTGCACCAAGTAAAGATCTTGTCGAAAGATTTTCAAAAAGTTCTTCTAGAGATAGCATATTTAAAATATCATTGGGAGATCGTGGAGATAATTTAGTTACAGTATTTAGACTCATCCCAGTCGAAACAAAAGATCCACAAGATGATGATATTCACTACAGATTTACATTCACGTATACTTATCCATCATCATTTGATGATTACGATAGTGATGATTATGCTAGTTTTAACAAAGAAAATAATCAACCC